TGTGTGTGTGTGTGTGTGTGTGTGTGTGTGAGTGGGAGAGAAAGAGGGAGAGGGGGAGAGAGACATACTGTAGAAGTACAGTATTCTATTCAATCCTAGTTCCAGCTTTTCCACAGTGAAACTAAACATTTCACTGCTTTGATTAGTCTTGGATCGAGCCCGCGGCCAAATAAACACGGAGATAGTGTGAAATGCTGTGAAATAGGTGTATGCTAAACTAATCTGATGATATGGATTATAATATGGGTATAAACCTGGGGATAGGATCTCAGCACCGTGTCAATCAGAGTCTTTGGCTGCATGGCCGGTGGAGCTGGCCAGAGAGTGGCCTGGGCTATTGATACCAGATGAGAGGATGAGTCAAAATACTGAGCAGATGTAATGGTGTGCAGTCATAATAGGGATAAAGAGAAAACAAAATCACACCATAGATCTAAAGACACTCAACGGGTAAGATAAATATGTCAACAGTATAAATGTGAGGAAATGGCTTTAAAATATTTGAAGATAAAGTTTTTTGGAAAATGCATTTGTCTGCTTGATTTTTTATCTCGGACTAGCTTTTTAGAGCTCACCTCAAGCTCATATTTTTTCCCAATATGTTTTTTCTGTAGACATAAACACTGTTAAGCCCAAAAATCTCCAGCTTTCCCTCTAACTTGTGTCTAACATATGAAAAATACATTTCTGCTTGGTGTCCTGCCATTCGTAAAGTATTGGATCAGGTCTCAGAAGTCGAAATATTCAGCTACTGTCCTGATTTAACCGCTAATTTGGTCGACTTCAAAACTTTCACTCTATAGTATGGAAGGACGGCAGTGGACAGTAGGGGGCTTAAATGTATGGATGGTGTGAGGCGAGGGGGGGAAATCTTTGCTGTGCATGCATCACCCCTGACTGATATGTCCCCTCCACAGACTCCAGCACCTGAAAAGTCCATCACTTCTAAAGAAGACTTTTGGGAAAGCACCAGTTGTCTGCAACAGAGAGAGAAAGAGAAAGAGAAAAGGGGGGAAAAAAGGGAGGAAAATTGTTCCTGCGTCACGTTGCTTTAATTTGTTCACCAGCTGCCAATGAAAATTATGACCTGCAGAAGGTTTTTCCTTTTTTTTCCTCTGCTCTCTCTCTCCTCTTTGGCTCAACATCTGCCCGGGCGAACCACACAGCTGGAGCCACACACTGAACAAGTGTAATATTTACAGTATAATGAATACGACAAAGAAGACAGATAGGACACATGGACCCAGACCTCATATACCGATTTGACTCATAACAGACCGGATGGCTTGGATGTTGGAAGCATCCAGGGACCATGTGGTGCATGTGGGAAGTGTAAAGTTTTATCACCTGTATGGAGCTGATGTGATAGATCAATCAAGGCTGTTTAGGATATTTATATTGGGATTAGAATCAAATCATGAATCGCATCCATGTGCAATTCAGCATCACCCCAACAATATGCGTAATAAAGAATTGTAGTATAATTATTTTTGCATATTAGGATCCCAGGAAAAAAGGTCATTAATAGACATTTAATATGCTCCATCCTCTGTGGTTGTACTTATTAAACAAATGTTGCCCTGCAGCTGCACAAACCCAAAGCAGATGTCCTGGTGAAATTAGGCAAGATCCACTAGGGGATTAGGTTTAACAGAAACCAAACACCTCGTTTCCAAAAATGATGCTGCATGTGAGTGTGCGTGTGTTTCAGGTGACGAGGAGGGGCCGTGCGTCTACCTCCGCAGCAAGGCGCACTTCCTGCATCGTCCTCTGCGCTATATAAACCCGCAAACACGGACTTCTCCTGAAGCCCTCACAAAGTTTGCAAAGCGCAGAAACTCCTCACTTTGCAGCCAGGCAGCCCTCCCTCTCTGCGGTCCATTACCGGAGCCTCTGGAGGTGATAGCAGCCGTTGGCACAAAAAGGCACCGTTACGCACGGAAAGGTAAGAGAGGAGTGTGTGGAGGAATGTCACTGATATTTCTGTTTTAATCTGTAAAGCACTGGAGCTTTTAAAGTTTGTTTTAACCATATCTGATAACTTATTTTTACGCACCACAACAAATCAAAAGCAGTCCGTCCTCTTTTTTTTCCAGAACGCAATCCAGGACGCGGGATCTTCCGTCTGCAGTGTAAAAATGAAGCTTCAGTTATTTGCCATAGATCTGATATTTCTGTGCATATCATGCGGAGCAAGTGCATTGGCAACGACTTTTCCTGGTGTGTCCACGTTCTCTCCAGACGCCAATTTTACCAGTTTTGGTGCCGACCGTGGAACTGACACCACGACTCTTTCTAAAAGCAGGAGGAAGCGTTATATCAGTCAGAATGACATGCTTGCCATTCTTGATTACCACAACAAAGTGAGAGGGAAGGTGTTTCCCCCTGCGTCCAATATGGAATACATGGTAAGCGTTCATTCATTCTGATCAATGCATGTATTGATGCATGTTTATGGTTTCATGTTTTGTAGGTTTGCATGATCAAATATACAATCTGCTGGATTCCAGGAGATATAATCGTTTTTGTGTGAAACAATGAATAGATCACACTCATCTGATTTGTAGTTTTGTGAAGAAAAAAAAAAAGAAAAAAAAAAGTAAAGTGTATTTGGCAGCTTCAGCTGTTCAGCACATTGCGCTGCAGGAGACCACCAGGGTCGTCGCTTCCAGAGGGAGAGGGGTCATGTATGGTATCAGTAGCCTGCTGCTGGCAGTGTAGTATGGAGAGAACAGTACCATCTAGTTCTAGACCCACAAGACATGATGGAGAGCAGATCAGTTTTAAATTTCATCATAAAAGCCATCAGTCACAACTCTGGGTACATTTGTGAGGCTGCTGACACGTTTAGATGCTTGTCATTGTCTACACCAACATGTCGTGAAGATTATCAACCCTCTGTCATGCGACACTGGGAATCTGACTTTTCTTACATAACATTTGATGGATGGTGTGTATGTTCTGCCATGGTAACACCTGTAACACGGCTATGAACTCTCAAAGTGCCGACTCTGATGTCACACCCTGCTGCTGAATAAGATCTTGTGTTGATATTTTCCATCTCCCTGTGTGCTGTAGGTGTGGGACGAGACTCTGGCTAAGACGGCGGAGGACTGGGCCCACGCCTGCCTGTGGGAGCACGGGCCGCCTCACCTCCTCAGGTTCTTGGGTCAAAACCTCTCCGTCAGGACAGGACGGTGAGTGACCTTTGACTCCCCTCCGACGCTCTGACATCTGCTGCTCCTCTCAGGGATGAGTCTCTCTCAGCAGTCATGGTCGTTGCCTTGCAGCCCCCTTCTTCTCTTTCCTAAAGGTTTTTGCACTGTGACCTGGTGACTGCTTGAGGAATGCTCCTGTGACACCCCAAATAAACAAAAGCTGTGTTTTCAGCCATGACCCATGAGGACAAAGGCGCATCCCTTTTGTGGGTCTTGACTTTCCATTTGGAAACACATTACCTCCACGTCTTCCTGCACGTTTAGATTTTTATTGAGGAACCACATGAACAGCCCTTGTTTTGACGGTTCCTTGCAACCTGCTGGGAGATTTCTACAGAAAAGTCATTTCCCCCGAAAAAACCACTAGACCTACGCCAAAAAACAAGCCTGTTTATGTGCACAGAAAGAAATGCAAAACCAGATTCATTTAACAAAGAAAGTGTTTATCAAGTTTAGTTTGAAGTTTCATTCGTTAAAAGCAATAACTCACCACAGAAAACATGGATGTAGATAATTCAGCAGTTCTGTGCCGCGATGCAGCACAAATGCACAACCACTGACCCGAAATAAGACTCAGCAGCAGAGGAAGACATCATATAACGTCAACATTGTTGATGTGAATCAGTGTCGTCAAGGTTTTAATATAATGACCATTGACAAACACAGTGGTGATTTGACAATTTAAACTAGAATGCCCCATACAGTCCCCTTCTGAGCCCAATTTCAAATTCACTAGATCTGGATTTTGATTTGCATCAAGTTGCTCATAAATATTTGTCCCTTAAACATGACATATTTCTTTTCATCAAGATCCACTAGTTATTCTCTGAGAAATCAACAAAAATGCCCTTTCTCACAAGACCACATCCTTCCACCAAGTTTCGTGGTAATTCGCTCCGTATGTACACCGTTGCTCACTGAACACCTCTTTTGTTCACAGCTATCGATCCATTCTCCAGCTGGTGAAGCCGTGGTACGATGAGGTGAAAGATTACTCGTTTCCATATCCCCGTGACTGCAACCCCCGCTGCCCTCTCAGATGCTATGGACCCATGTGTACCCATTACACACAGGTACACAGACAACAATCAGTATTAAATAATGTTAATACTGTGGAAATGGTGCAACATTGATATTAACCACTGGTGTTTCTAATTTGCAGATGGTGTGGGCAACCTCCAATAAAGTTGGCTGTGCCGTTCATACATGCAACAATATGAACGTATGGGGCTCAGTATGGAAGCGGGCGACATATTTAGTCTGCAACTATTCACCCAAGTAAGTACAGTCTACTTCCATCGATGAGATATAGTGTGTATGACGTGCAGTGAGGAGGGCCTGTTAATGCTGCTGAACCTGTTACCCTGATGACGACAAGTTTAATCCCAACACAGTCGCTCTGTTCTGGGCTGGGTTGTGAAATGCCACCCACGCTGCTGTGAGGTTCAGATACAAGCCTGTGATCCGGTACCGCGTTGCCAAAGCTCCACAGACCCACGAAGCAGAAGAACAAATTCCAGAAATCAAAGCCCGTTTGGACATGTGACTGACTTGTGACCTTCTTTAATCCCGCCAGTTTGAGATGTATGTTAGAGTCACAGGCTCAGGACACCGAAGACCTATTTTAGCAAATCTGAAATGAGCCCTCGATTTTTAGAGACGCTAGGTTGTTGGTTTGGCAGCACAGCAGCGATAAAATACAATTACATTATTTTATACTTATTTATCTATAATTAAGTTGTTAAACAATGTGTCTTGGACAAACGCATAGAAATCTCATTTTGCTGTTGACGAAACAATGTTGCTACAAGTTGTGGATCATTTAACGTAATCTTGATCAGTTGTCATGACAGCGTGGTTCAAATATAAAGATATAATAGAAAACTATTCTCCATCAAAACGTCGAACATCTACTACACCTATGTTGTATATTTTGTTGACTTGTGTAAGCAGATTATCCAAAATCTTTCCACACTTTTATTCAAGACTCGCGTGGCTTTCTTTGTTATCAAAAACAACAACTCCCATGATCCTACGCTGCTTTACGACCTCATCAAACTAGGTCTTTTGTTATTGTTTTGATTGAGCCTTGCGGTCGAAGTTACATATTGTGCATTTAAATATTCTCTGAGCACTTTGAGGACACTTTGGCAAACTTGACAAACTCTCTATGCTGATGATCATGTATAATGACTGAAAGCCCCAGAACAGAAATGAAACAGTCAACCGCTGATACCAAGCAAGAGGTAGAAGTTTCGAATTCGATATTTTGCCTTTTAAAAAAATAGTTTTCTTCTTTATATGTCCCATTATTTTTATCAGTCCATCATGGGTGATTTTGCTCCGGCACCAACTCAAGTTCAGGCTACTTCAAAAATCCAATCTATGGTCACTCCAGGTTCACTGACATGGCGACTCTCTGTCTTACAGGGGTAACTGGATTGGAGAGGCCCCCTACAAAGTGGGCGTGCCCTGCTCCGCCTGCCCCCCCAGCTACGGGGGCTCCTGCAGCAACAACATGTGCTTCCCTGCTCTCAAGACAAACTACCTGCACTGGTTCAAATAAGCACAGGTCTCCTTTTTGAAACAAGCTGACAACCGACAGTACCACAAAGACATTGTTTCAATCCCGTAAGGATTTGCACAACAGTCGTGGACCACACTATTTTGTATATATGGGCTTATTTAAAGACACAAACATACATTTCGAAGGCAGCAGACAATTTAGCGTTGGTGACTTGTAAATAAAGTGTAAATTAATTTGTTGCGATTTGATGAAATATAATTTATATGTAGAATGGGTCCTTAAACACAGTATACTCTGAATGTGGTGCTGCGTACACTTTTGTTGTTTGACAATGTGGTAATTAAGGACATGACACCATCATAGCTGCTCATACCTGCTCACTCTGGTGCTACGGGCATCACACCTTCATGATGTGTGCCCTGCCTTCACAGGAATGCTGTGACACACACATCAAAGCCTTTGACCTCAGAGGGAAAACCTACTCTGATGGTGTCGACTGCAGTAGGTTTACAAACTTCAACGCATTCTCTATTTCGAGATTGGAACCAATTGGCAAAAGTTCTTTCATTGACAGAAGTGCACTTACACTGTAACCCAAACGGAACAGAAACATACGTCACCTCATTTAGAAATATTTCGTTTTTTCATTTACACAGTGAATTTTGCAGCTTTAATCTGCACTGATTCAGTTAAGTTTCATTACATTTAATCTCTTTCACGTTATAGATAGAGAGCACATACAGTAAATCTGACCCACATATCTTGTCTCTGATCATATTTGTTATAGACTATATTGGTATACTGTATTTGTATGAATGTCTTATAGTGGACAAATGCAGTGTTTGTATATTGTAATGATCTTTTCACTGATGTTGTAGCAATGGTAGTTAGGCACTCAAGTGCACCTTAATTGTTTGCAGATTTCCAAAGTACTGGGAAATTATCATTTGTTTTGTACATGTAGATAATCATTACACCTTGACTATCCTTAAACTTCAAGTACTCTGTAAGTTATTCATTTTTATATGGGAAAAAATATTTAATTGATATTAATTTTGTGTGTTGTTTTGTAAAAGGATTGTACATATATGTATACAATTTACTGAATACGGTTCATTCTCATGTCAACTATTATAATGGTGGAGGAAGTTCCCCATGGTGTGAATGAGCTGAGGTAGATCTATATGAACGAAGCACTAGCGTAATATCCACAGGTTATTTCATCGACCATTTTGAACTCACTACCTGTAGTGTGATGAAAACATGTTCAAGAAGACACAAAAATGTTGATTTAAAGGAAACTTGCTTTGATGCATTACAAAACAGGAAATAACCATTTTCCGCACTGACTGTATTTAAATCATCATCAACAACAAGCTATTTATGCAGCAAACTGTGTTTTTCTTGTTGTGTTTTGTATTTGTAATAAAATTGTCTATTTTGATTTTGTTCTCTTCTTGTGTCGACGCATGTTTGCCTCCTGTCAAAACAGAACCATTGTTCATTGTCTGTGTCGCTGGAGCTCTTCCTCGGTTCTGATCTTGATTAGATGTTTTTATTTTTAGTTAAATGGTGCCATCGCAAAGACTGACATCCTGCATATCGAACACTGAGAGAGAGAAGAGAAAACAACTGAATAAACAACTGAATCCTGATATGTGAGGGTTGACTTTGGCCCCGTCCATCCATGGCCACACAAATGAAGGGACGACTGATAGGGTTTCAGGGGACCCTCTTGTGTGAGTTTGTCCAATGACACCATTGACCTCACTGAGAGGGAGAGACAAGAGGAAGACTGGAATGCAGGAAGCTGAAAGAGTAAGACTGTCTGTCACTTCCAGACAAAAATCAAATCAAAGACAGACAATCCAACAAAACAATAAATGACATTTTACTGTACAATTTCTGCATTTTGTATTTGGATGATGGAGAAAGTTGCAGAATTTTAGCAAGAAGTAGAAACAAACAGGTGGACCTCTGGACACAAAGCCATGAATGTTCTGATGTGCAGAGCAGATGCTGCAGATTTTGCACTTTTTCTAAAGCAGGGTTTGCAGAATATGGGCGTGGGCCCGCCTGCATCAGAGTTAGGTGCATGAGATCAGACTATGAAGCGAAGAAATTAGCGAAGCATCGACAACATGTTTTATTTGTTAGATAATCATCTGTGTTTGTGCAAATGCAAACCGGACTATGGAAAACATCTTTCCAGACTGAAACGCTTGCTGCACAGCAATGCACTTTGGCAGACTGGAGTTCAATAGCTTCCATTTTCATGGTAAACTCTTTCATCACAAACCACGTCCTGCACGTTATTAAGTAGCTTCGTTTATGCAGCCAGCCCGAGCTGCAGCACAGTCCCTGGAACCAACAGGCAGAGAGTTTTCGAGGAACACATTAGTATGCATGGGAAAAATCCTGCTGTCTGAGCAAGAGCTGGACTCTGAGCCAAGCAGATGATTGGTGGACGTTTAAAAGGCACATCAGCGGGATGAGAAGCAGGACGCCATGAGGAGTTAGATAACCTGCTGTCGACATTTACCTGGCTTATCCATCATCGGTGGAGACAGAGCAGAGGTTAAGGATATGGATTTGGGTTAGGATGAAAGCTTGTCTCTCGTGGACAAGGACAGAAAACCACCTGCAAATGGAGTGTACGTGAAAACGGAATACACTCAGGCTCTTTATGACTCATGTGTTTCTTATCAACATGTTCCTATTATTAATACTTTTGAAATATTCAACACTTTTTGAGCCTTTTCTTCCATCCACTTCATACTCATTCATACTGACCCAGAAACGTCACAATTTAAACTAGTAAACACTTTGGGACTTTATCATATCAGTTTAACTCTTTCATACTTTTAATAGTTGTTCTAAAATTCCAGATTACTTTGACAAAAGGCACTTCAACTACTTTTACCCATTTCAACGGGTGCATTTCCATTAACACAAATTCTCACCACTTTTTTCATGTCTTCAATAAATTCTTCAGTTTTCATTCCTTCACCATATGACACTTCAAATGCTTTCAACCCTGTGTCTACACACAGGAAGTGTTCCAGCCTTGTTTTTCAGTTGTCTTGTGCATCTGATGCAACACTTGTGTACCTGCTTTAATTTGCCCAGCTGTCCACACAGACTGTGTAACAGTTCACCTTTTACTCGTGCCACATGCTTGTAAACGTGTGTCAAAGCATGTTGTCCACATTCTTCCATTTTATGTGTGTAACTACAGTGATTGAGTTTTGCTGAGCTCTGGTAAAACACAGGTGACAACAGTGTAACACAGCAGTTGACACTTCAACTGCTTTAATCACTTATTTACTCAATGGACAGTTTGACTGCTGTAATTTGTTTTCACAACTTCCTGTTAATTTCATTTTAACAACAGAAGTTGACACTGAAGTCATCTTTAGACGACAATACCACAAACATGTATTCAGCTAATCTCAATCACACAACTTCTTGGATTCATTCATTCAACTTCTTGCACTGCAACATTTCCACTTCAACAGACATTTCAGCTACTTCTTGAACGTACGAGTCATCTGATGATTAACTTCTTTTCACCTTTAACTCTTGAAATGATAAAGATGCAGCTGATTTCAGTGGTTATATGTCAAATACTGTTTTAACTGCTTCACTATTATTCTCTAATTCAACTGCCTTCACTGTTGACACGTCAGCTGACATTTACTCATCAACAAGACACTTCAGCACTTTCTAGGTTTCAACCACAAAACACTGAAGCTTTTATAATCCACACATCTGTCACTCTTCATATTCACTGCAACACTTCAGCTGACAGTTACTTTATACATCAGTTTACACACTCCACATTTCCACTTCGCCGAATCTTCCAACGCAATTTATCATCTACACTTCAATTAACATTTCCATTCAATTCAACTGCCAGTTTCTGATTCTTGCTACTCGTCTGTGCCGACACCCACCGAGGCCACGATGACGCATCCTGAAGGTGCACTGCTTTTCCTAATAACACATGTGAGTTACTGACCCATCAGATGAACTGTTATTGCTACAACAGTTTCATCTCCGTCCCTGAAGTGTGAAGGTGGTTTCGTTTGGACAGAAGATGGAGGCTTCACAGGGACCATGCTGGGTTGATAGATTACCAACAGGATGTGGGTGAGTTTGGGGGAGTCGGTTTCTAAAGTGCTTTCCAACTTCAATAACGGTGTGAAGTAAAGGAGTTTGATTTTGAGTGGGTACAATACTGAGGAAAGCAGATAAATCTTTAGTGGAGGGAGTTTGTTATTGGTTTAGAGGTTTGTTGTGCAGCTACAGAAAATGTACCCGCTCCTCTTTGCTCTGTACTCTATAACCTCTGTGCCCTCTCTGACTTGGGTTGAAATCTCGGATCCTCTGTGCCTCCAGGAGGCTTCTTCCTTATTCACTGTCATTTTTTTCTTTTTCTTTTCACCCCCGCACAACAACTTAAGTTTACTTTGCTCCTCCTGCAGCTCTTCCTTTGGATCCGCTGCCTGTGTCCCATCCAAAAAAGAAAAACAGAGCTCTTCTTGTTTGAATGGAGAAAATGAATCACATTGTTGATTAACTGTGATATATAAGTATGATTTTTACGACCAGCAAAATGAATGATTCTTCTTCTATTGTTTAATGCTGTCTCAACTTCCTGCAACTGGTCCGAATGTACTCTCCCAAACATATGTTCACACTACAAATGGTCCAAACTATGGTTCTGTTTCAGTCTGACTGAGACCACCTCTTTTGGTCGTTTGTCCGTTGGCCTGGACTTTGGCCTGACGCACCTTTCAAACCTTTTGTTTTGGTTGAGACTAAACTGAAAACTCTGAAGATCCAGAGAGACTTAAACATTTTGTGGGGACAGCAAGCGAGTTGGTCACTAATACATCATGTTCTACCTCCTGCGTGCTCAACCTAGAGATTCTTCTGATGTGAACGCGTGTCTGACCCGGACTGTTCTTTACATATGAAAGGCAAACTCCATAAAATGTCCAATTTTCTTGAATTGTTTCTAGATTTCATGTCTAAAAACAACTCTCTGTCTACTACTTTCTGCACATGACCATCATTGGAGCATTTTCATGCTTTCCTCAGATAACCATGATATTATTTTCACTCTGGAGGAAACTGACTGTCAGGTGGGATCCTGTTAACGTATGTGTTTCCCAGAGACTGATGTCAGCGCCCTGATGCATGTTTTGGGATCTCCTCAAACGTTGGCATGTACATGCTACAACTCTTTAGCATGCTGTTTGTAACCCTACCATAAATCTCTCAGGGCAGCAGAGTTAACTACAGGGCACGATTTTTTTGCACTGCCTTGTTGGAGTTAGCCTTACTTCAAACAAGGAGGAAGAAAATCTAGCTGCTCAGGTACACAAATCATTTTGCGGTGTCTCAGGTGCCTATTTTGGTCTTTGACGCTGTTTGTTTAGGACAGTGTCACCCTGACGTGACACTGCGGGGAAACGCTTCATTCCTCTCTGGTCTTCATGGTTGAGTTTACATGTCCTCCCTGTGCTCGCGACACGTAAGCAAGAGCTGATGTTTCATGTGATCAGCCAGAATGAAATGAGACACCGCTTCACTTTGAGCTGAACGGCTTATGTTATGCACACTTTTCTCGTCTAGTGATTTTTCCTTGGCAAAGTAAGCTCCTCACACGGTCCAGTTAAATATAAATAAAGCATATCTGGCACACGTCAATATGTATATATTCCATTTTATAACAGGCGACATAGGCTGGTGTCGTGCCATGAACCTGTATAGTCTATATTCACCTCTTGTGTGAAACGTTGTCACATGTTGTCAAACCAATATGTCTGACCCTGCACAGACAGGACTTCCCCCTCCCTAGGAACAAACTGATGCAAGGTGTCTGTCCTCCATACCCTACTGCAGTCTTTGTCTTGGACGGGGCCACATCAGCCTCCATGCGGGGCCTCGCAGGAACTTCAGACGAGCGACATTCTGCAGCAGCGAGTCTTGGGCCAAAATCAATGTCCTCTCTTAGGCAGAGTGCTGGGAAAGTGCTGCGTAATCAGATGGGCTTTCCTCCTTCACTCCCAACTCTCTTTATCAACAATCTCCCAGAGGCTCTGATGCTGAAACTGGCTTTAACCACTTTGCTCCTATGATGTATCACAGTATTATATAATTCCTTGTAATGGGACATCATGTGCAAACACGAGACGTTCACGTGCTCTATTATTATCTCAGTTCATAAAAACAACCCTTTTGAATGTTGGTGAACCAAACCACATATCAAATCCAACAAAATGCATGATTGTTGCGTCCCTCCCAGGGGATGATATCAGGTGACATTAGCCCCTGCTGCATTTTGGCTTTGTTGTGAAATGTCTTGGTTTCACACA